AAAAAAAAAAAAAAAAAAAAAAAAATGACATAATTTCTCAAACGATTTGATTCTTCGTTTATTATCGAAGACTTTCTGCGAGCGAACGCGGTGACAGAGTGAATGTATTCGGGGTCAATATATATATATATATGAATCATTGTAAATGTATAGATATTTAAATTCAACACTTGTATAGATATTTAAATTCAATGTACGTGAATGTTAGAATATGATGAATGTGAAATATTCTTTGCAATCGATTCAGCCTTCGCTATTCAAGGCTAAATATAGAATAAATTAATGGCTAATGGCAATATCCTTTCAATCGGATTTTCTTTACTGGTTGCACGATCTGATGCTTATATCGGGACTTTCAACGTGCTGTAACTAGGAATTTCGACTGCGTACGCCGGTTGATTGTTTTCGATGACGAAAATGGCGCCGTTCTTGCCATGCTCGATCAGTTGAATAATGGCGGTGGCCACGTGCTCCGGTCTGTCAACAAACATTATTTCATTCAGAGAATAAAACTTTTCATCACATCGCAATTAAATACCTTAATATAATGCACGTGTATAATATTTTCAAGGTGTCAGATCTTATATAAGAGTTTATCGCATTTAGTTTCTAGGAAAGATATTTCAGTAAACAGTCGGGAAATTATTTTAACACTTTACGATTCAGGTTCTCGCACATATTTTAACTGCGTTGAGATTTATTTTCTCGCGTTTTATTCTTTTTATATTAGCAATAAATTCCAGCAATATTGCAACATTTACTACGATTTTATGTTATTTACATTTGAATCAGTTAATTTTGCGTACACTATAATTTCCTTTCGAGTATAATAACTTCACAGCCCGTCCGTTAAAAAGCGTTGAAATAACGATTTTAACAGATCGGTCGGCTAGTGATTTGTATCTCTCCTTCGGGTAATTATTTCAATCGTACTTAAACGAGAGACAGAATTGAAGATTCTTTGAAGATACAAGGAGAAACATAGTAACTTTGATTTCGATGTTATTTAGTTATTCAGAGAGACACTGTACACACGATCTTTGCAGTCGTTTGGTCGACTTTCGATCCAAAGAATTTGCAACGTTTCGTGAAAAGACCGAAGAAAAGTCGAGGTGGAAGTTGACTAGATGAATATTATTTCGAAAGGTTCGTAGAATTTTAATGCTCACGGTTGTTTCTGCATGGTGGTCATTGCCGCAGCGGCGGTTTCTTCGTCGAGGAGATCCATAGCGTGCTCTTTGCTGGACATGAATCTGGCGGCCATAGCGGTGGTCGTTAGTCCCGGGCATATCGTCAACATGCGGATGCCAGTTTTCTCGTGATAATGCTACATTGTCCAAGGCAAACATGGAAATTTTACACGTCGCCGTTTTTCTCTTTATGCCAAGCAGCTGAAAAGCTAGATTTTGTTCATTCGTTCTTTCACCTTCAACGACTGGGTGAAGCCAACGATGGCGTACTGTGTCCCACCGTAAATTGGCGCGATCGGGATGCCCTCGAGGCCAGCTACGGACGACATGTTCACGATAATCCCGCCAGTGCCACCCTTGTATCTCCCCATAGCGTGCAATCCCAAGATCGTCGCATGAACGATACCTTTCTATCAGCAGGAAACGAAGATTAATTATCCGACAATTCGAATAATGAAATTTCGCAGTCTTGGATGCAAATCAACTTTATTTTCTTTTTTTTTAGACACGGTTCTGTGCTCAGATTTAGAAAGAGAGAAGAAAAGAAGAGGGATATTTCTATCACGGAATGGAGATATAATCAAGATAATTTTAACTCGCTTACGTAGTTGACGTCGACCATTATTTCCCAATCAGCATCGTCCATGATACCAGCGATGTTCACAAGAATATCTAGCGTCTCGTAGGTGTCGATTACCTTCTTGAACGATTCTGCGTATGAAAATACATTTTACCGCACCGTGTTATCAGAACTACTTTAGAATTAATTTATTACGCACTATTATTAGAACTTGCTACTAGCAAATTGCAAAAGACAATTCTTAGCATATTTTATGTTATGTTATTAAGAATAGAGAAAGAGAATTATCAAAGATTATTATTTCAGCGTACGTAGAATAATACTTTGAATTTCTAAAAATTCTTTACGTTACGTGAAACGTCGCGATTTACAACTACAACCTTTAAGTTGCTCGCTCTTTGACACGTCGCAGACGACGAAAATGGCACGATCCTTGCCGAATTCGTTGTTCAAATCCGCAGCTGCACTTTCGCCACCAGAATCGCCTAGATCCAACAGAGCTACCGCCTGAATGTACATGAATACTCTTGTCACTACTTGTATCATGCAGAAACTTTCACATTCATATGAAGAAATGAATAGATAGATAGGTGGACTTAGAAAACCTAAAGCAACTTATCC